GGGCAAAACCAGTATTAAAACCTAGCTTAGCAACACTACGTGAGAAGCATATAAAATTCATTCAAGGGCAATTGGGAGGAACATTATCTGCGCATTTAATTAATAGATATTATTCTTAAAGCATATCTTTATACTTTGGTATAGGCACCTATCATGCAACTGCAGTGTGCCTTGAACAATTCATTCTGTTCATATTAAATTATAGAAGTATAGAAACTCGTTGTTATTGGGTTTATTAATGACATTGATATAAGACACTTAATTGGTATTTATTACTTCACTGTAGTAGAATTATGTTTTGTTTTGTTAGGTATTGCTAATTAATTATCTTATTGCAATTTTATTTATCAAATTTAGTCGAGCGGTTCGGAAGTTATGCGCTTACAAGTACAAAATATGAATACTGATTCTGATTCTAATTTAATTTTGGTTATGATTAACATTAAGTTAATTGTTAGGTAAAAGGCCAAAAGGTATATAACCTAGGTTGATAACTTGTTGTAAACCCAACGCTTTATATTCTACTAAGTTCAAACAATTTGTGATATAACACTTTTTTTTAGGGAAGAAAATCATTGAATGACTTCTCTCGCCTGGGTGAGGCGGGAGGGAGTGTCAGACTCTTACTGACTAAAACCATCCCGTTCCTACTCCTGCACTTCGAGCCAAAGCCCCGGTAACCTGTTAAATCCTACTAAGACTATTGTTTGCATGTTTCAGAAGTTAAATAAAAATATTCTTATTAATTTGTGTCTTTTATTTTCTGCACATATGTAGCATAATAGGCATAGCCAGGATTATTTTTAGGAAGGTACATCTACATATCTTCCAATTCATTCTCCTAATTATTATAGGAATTTAAAACAAGTCTATGCAGTTCCTTCCCTTTTCAAGATACTCATTATAATTAACTAGCGACTTCCCCGCGTATTTACGCGCTCTACTCAGCTCCTATTGGTCGTAGCGTGATGTTTTATAGCCTATAGCCATCCCCGATAAAATTTATTATTATTATTCAAATCAAACTTGTAGTTATAGAGATTAGCGCGTTCAAACAAACAAACATAAAAACAAACTCTTCCGCTATATAATAGTATAAGATAAGATATAAGATTTAGGCCTGTTAGTCCAAATTTTCAATCGCCATCCACACTAGCAGGTTCGATGTGCAAAGATTTTATAAAATGAGGTAACTTCGACAAACAAAGTCACTCCTACCCTATTCCTCAGTCAGCAAATATGTCTACAAGAGGTGTTATACATCCCTTTGTTTTTGAAAATTTCATTTTTTTCCTAAGATTGTTTTAGCTTTTTATCAAGGATCTGTTGAAGCATAACTCCCTCAAATTCCTAAAGAATGTATATCCAAAATTGAATGACTGCACGGTTGGTGCGGTGGCTGGGCAACCGGCTGCCGTGAAACGTGTCGCGGGTTCGATTCCCGCACGGAACAACACTTTGTGTGATCCACAAATTGTTGTTTCGGGTCTGGGTGTCATATTGTGTATGTGAACTTGTATGTTTGTAAACGCACCCACGACACAGGAGAAAATCCTAGTGTGGGGCAACGTTTTATAAAAAAAAAAAAAATTGACATTAATTTTTAATTAGTTGTCTTGTGCTATGTCCCATGTTTTAGGCGACGAACGAATATTATTAAAAGGGGTTATAGAAATAACTTTACTAAAATACAATAATGTACTATATAAAAATAAGTCGGGTTTGCCTTCCTGACGCTATAACTCCAGAACGCTCGAACCGATTTCCGCGGTTTTGCATTCGTTGGAAAAGTCTCGGACTCAGTGAGGTTTATAGCAAAGAAAATTCACTAATCACCAAACCAAATGTTACATAAAACGAAGCCATCTGGTGGCGAAACGGACTTCGCCGGGTTTGCAAGTATTATAAAAAAGTTAAACTTACCGATATCCAATTTGTTTAATGATTGATACACAACTGCATTTTTTTATTACAAATCGTCTTATTTATAAGATATCTCTCACTCCTAATTATTAATTTTTAATATTAATATATAAACACAAATATTAATAATTATTAAATATTATGACTTGTTTTCGTATTCATTGATGTTAGTTCGAATTAAAGTTTGTAGTTCTTATGTTACTAGACATAAGGTTCACATTCGTATTATTTTATTGAATTTAGAGCAAGATGTTTCATAGATAAGATTGTATCAGTTTTGGAAGTGGACATTAAAAGTAAATGTCGAACTATTTCCGTTAAATAATTGCTGTCATGAAGGCTGGTGACTAGTAGTTTGTAAATAACGACGTTATACACAGAACACATAACATACCATCACGCCTATTATCCCCAATGGGTTGGCAGAGGTGCACATTACGGCACTTTAATGCCAGTGTACAATGTAACACCCATTTTTCACTATTTATGTTATGAGTCCCATGAAATAGAGGGTGAGGCTATTGTCATATACCGGGCACAATTGCAGACTCCGTGCTACTACTGATTTTTTTTTAAAACAACCCAGTAATTTTTTTTGAAACAACCCATACTTTGCCTGACCCGAGAACCGAGACCCCTTGCCCGGCAGTCGCACTTGCGACCACTCGGTCAACGAGATAGTCAGGCAGGCAGTTTTTTTTTAATCAATATTATTATCACTAAAACATACAACTTATGTATTGCGGAAGTCGCTTCTTTGGCGTAGACCTCCCCAGCTTCCTCCAGTCGTCTCTATCTCGAGCTTTCCTTCTCCAGTCTGTGCCTAGGTCACTTTAAATCTGTCCCTGCCTGAATGGTGCCTGAGATGAACTGGGAATATCTTGCAATATCTTGACATCGTCTAGCAATACTTGCAATGGAAACACGTCGATATAGGTTTGCAATTTTCTAAATAGCCCATGCAGGAAAAGGTCATTTTAACTCTGTTCCTCTATATTTCAAAAATTTTGTTAAATTTTGGCTAGGACCTCTAAATTTCAAGATATAACAAGATTCTTGAGTAACAGTGTTCAAAATAAAAACAACAAAAATCCAGTAATAAAATAATTTCATTTTATTCATTTATTTATACACATACATTATATTTACATAGACAGTTGATATATTTATTACATAATGGAGTATTTTATTTACTTGCACCTATTATATACTATAGAGTAGGTAAGGCACCTTAGGGAAGCAATATTATTTATTAATTCATTTATTTGACAATCTCTTTGCTATGGTCGAGAATGAAAATCGAGGTGAAATCGGTGACAAAAATCGATGTCTAATGCCCGAATACTGAAACGCTACTCAATTTTAAGTCGCGCTTAAGTATAGTACTGTCTCTACTAATTCTTTGTAAAATGACAGAGATGGCACGATATTTAAGCACGACTTAAAATTGAGTAACGTTTCAGTATGCCGGCAATAAACTATCAAAAAAAAAATATATTAAATTAATGTATTTGTGAATATAAATTGTTTCGTTTTGTTATCGATATTTGAGTTGTGATATCGATTTTTGTCGTCGACTGTAGTAATTAAGTTTAATTATATCTAACGCACTTTGAATGTATGTATGTATGTATGTAACTATATATTATGCGCGTTGCATTGATATGGTCCTTTTTCTATGAAAAACTTTCAGTTATTAATTCTTTTTTGTACCAAATTATTCGATTATTAGGAAGTATACTTTAACAGGATTTATTATGTCTGCGTGCGTTAGATATAAGAATCAAAATCGTATATAATGATACGCCCAATACATACCTAAATATTTACATTAAAAATTAAACAAAAAATTTCAAAAATAACAGTAGGTCGACCACAAGTGAAATCTATTCAGAGTAAACATAAAAAATGTACACAGTAAAGTATATGCTAAAAAATCAGATAAAAAGGACTAGGAGCACTCCAAATGGATTTCACGTTCAGAAACTGTCCTTAACAACATGATAACAGGTAACAAACTTAACTTTATATTTACAAAAATACAAATCATTTACATTTTATTTTTATTTCATAGAAGGAAATGCATGCAGAAGTTAAAAATGTGATAAATAACTAAAAAAATCTTCCTACATTTATTTTATTATTGCCGCTTGTATACACTTCATTATAAAATCCACTGATTTATACACTCCATTTTTTTGTGTTAACAATAATTGACATTTCATCTGACAGTTGGTCGTTTTTACAAATGGCGTCACGTCACGTTTTGGTAATTCACTTCACATGGTTGGTAACTCAAAAGTTACAGAAGTTACCGGCTTACAACTAAAAGATACATTTACAAAGTTACAGAGGAACACAAAGCTCTTAATTAAAGAAATATTATAGTTATAATAAAAATTAATTAATTAATTAAATATACAATGTGGTAAATTTGGTATACCCGCGGGTCGTTCCGTGCAGTGGGGGAATTAATTGTATAAATCTGAGATCAATTTTACGAAATTAGATTCATAAAAGTATTGCCCGTCGAGCCACGTTTTTTTGTTCTGTTTACTTACCGTATACTACGTTTTGTTGACAAAAATTCGCTTTTATAAGTTGATCAGTATTTTATTCTAGTACTTTCTTTTAATATTATTATTTAATAAGCTAAAATGGTGTTTAAAATCTACCTGCAGTAATAAACACAATAAGCACAAAGCCTTGTATTGACAACAAATTAATTTTGCAATTCATTCATAAAGTTATCATCATAAAAGATAGGATGGTTGATAGAGGGGAATGGAAGAAGAAGACAGTCATATTGTGTCAACTCCAAGAGACTAGAAACAAGGGCAGAAAGAAAAACAATACTATGGCAAAGTAATGAGGTATTCCTCGTAGCGCTCCCGGTTTGAAGCGCGCCCATCTAAGCGCTCCCGTTTTATTCCTCTAAGCGCTCCCAAAAGGAGCGCATTGAGGAACGATTAATAATATTAAAATTTATTTCCTCGAAGCGCTCCCATGATTAATTTTCGGATAGAGATGGGACTTTACTAATTAAAATTATCGATAAGAACTAGGTAATAAGTAGAACACATTGTTATAATATACAACTAGCGGCCCGTCCCGGCTTCGCACGGCTTTAGTAATTATTATTTTTTTGCTTTATTGTAAATACCAAAGTCCACCATATAGATAAATATAATCTGCCGACATATGGACTAAAGGATTAGATGGGCGCGCTTCAAAACGGGAGCGCTACGAGGAATACCTCAAAGTAATGCCTACAGTATGTTCTGTAAATAAACACACAAAAATAGACTTTAAAACGACACAAATACATAGTTATTGTCAACAAAATGCAGTACAAAAGCTTACAGTAACACACCATAGTGGCGACAGGCGATCAGTCATTTTTTTAATATCTATACATACATACAAACCAATTTACACTCACTCTTATTTCGAAATCAGTATAAGCACAACCTTTTACAATGATATTTCCAAACATCCAAGACTTCTTAGTGTAAATTATTCAATTCCAGTCTTTGTTGGCTTACCTCGACAGTAAAATTGACAATAGACTTGGTAAATTCAATAAAGTTCAATTTTGCATGGCACAGTTGTTATGTGCCGTCTTATTGTCGATGTTTTAGCCAAATTGTATTATCCATTAACTGTTACTAGACAAAAATCTAGAGTTAAAATTCCTTTAAAAATTAGTCGAAAAACAAATTCATTTTTAAAAGCTACTTTTACAAAATTCGTTCTTAATTAAGGTTTAAAATAAATAAGCATTATTTGTAACATGCTTGGCTGTCTATTTATCCCTGTCTCGCAAGTATAAAAAGATAGGGATAGCATAGTTTAGCCCAACATGACATGTGTTCAGTAATGATTTATTTATTTTTAGTCTGTGGTACATCAAACTTTACAACCTTCATAATTTTTCACAACTACATAGATTATAAAATATCTTCTTCTAAAATAATCCAACAAATAATTGTTAAATATAAATTGACCTTTCATTGCACAAAAATCTTATACAATGCTAGACCAACTTACACTGAACGTGTTCGATGCACCACCTCCACATTGAAAAATGAACTCTATCAACATTAGCATTTAAAAACGCATTTGCACAAAAAGACATTTCACATTTGGTTCACAAGTTTAAAGTCCTTCCATTTCACGGCACAACCCGCTATTGAGATTCTCCCTAGCGCCATCTATCGTTGGATATCACAGAGTTGTTGGCTGTCGACTAGTTGGGCCCTTTCCACCGCTACCAGGCACCCCCCAGGAGCCACAAGTAAGGGGGCGGTTGGCGTCCCCACCCATACTTTTTTGACGTCATCAGACGTATGTTGAGCTAAGGGTGACATGTAGCCGCCTCTGTAAATAGAGAAAAAAGTTCGTTATAGTAATTTGTTGATGACGTAATTATTCAGCAGTTATTGGTATTTTAATCATTTCGTTTGGGGTTTTCACTGGGATTTTTAACGAGTTTAACTCGTCGAGTACCGTCATTATAGACACAATTATAGAACAATAGGTTGCGGTCACCGGTGACCGCTTGGTGTTTGACAGTTTAAGAGTCATTTGTAATAAAAAGTCATTTCAGGACTGGTAGAGGACGTGATAGAGGACTATCTTAGACAAATACCTAGGTAAATTACTGCGTAATCATAATCAAACATGTGTTTTTGTTCCTCAACCATCCATTTTTTATTTTGTGTCTATAACAAACTGTTCAAAAGATTAACCCAATTTCAAAATTCTCAAATCTCCTCCATAATTCCTTCTCATAAACATAAAAAAATACATAAAGAACCAAATATATTTTTTTAAGGAGGGAAAATCATCGAATGACTGCTCCCGCCTGGGTGAGACGGGAGGGAGTGTCAGACTCTTACTGACTAAAAACCACCCCGTTCCTTCTCCTGCACGTCGAGCCGGAGCCCCGGTAACCCGTTAGGTTCTCCGCGACAAAGAACCAAAGATACCAACCTAAGTTTCCTATCAGCATGTAGAAGAGCATCTGCCTTCAGCAGCCTCACAGCCACGGCTACTAGGAGGAACAGGATCAGGGCGCCGCAGACCGGCACCGCGATGGTGGCCGCTTTGAACCACACCTCGCCGTTGTAGTTCGCTCCTCGTTCGCTGGCTACTGTCTGACCTTCTGGAATTAAAAGAAGTGGTGGTTAGTTTGTGTAAAGCCTAATATATTGGTCCCTAATAGGATAACCTTAATCTTCTAATGGGTGCCATTACAGTTAGTTGACAATTGAGAGACTACACAAACAGACCGAGCAGCAGCGGTTTCTGACAATTCTAAACGTTTTTAAATGCGGTGCTCCAACTAAGTATGAAGATTTGACAAACCCTCTTAGGCAGAGGTGACTTACTGACATAGTTCACTAGTGGTTACGGTTGCGGCTGTTAGTGTGATGTATCGTATGATTTGTATTAGGTACGAATAAAATTTTTAATCAACAATACCTATCTATTTTGAAATAAATGTGAATTGAGGAAATGGTATTTTATACATTTTTTTATTAGAAAAACTATTTAATAATTATATGTCAAAAGTCAGACCTGGTACCGTGAGAATCTATGCTAATAGACTAGAATATAAATAAACACCCCCTATCCGAAGAACGCGACGTGTCAGTTATAGTTAAAATATAGCTTTTTTGCTAAGAACAGTATTAGTTGTAGTTGAAACACTAGTTCTACTAAGATATAAGTGTGGGAGAGCCATGCTTCGGCACGAATGGGCCGGCTCGACCGGAGTGATACCAGGCTTCACAGAAAACCGACGTGTAACAACACTTGCATTATGTTTCGTCGTGTGAGTCAGGTTACCGGAGGCCCAATTACTCCCCTCTCCAATCTCCCCGAAAATCCTCAAATACCTAATCCCCAAAAGGCCGGTAACGCATTTATAACACCTCTGGTATTTCGGGTGTCCTTACCATCAGTTTGCTCGTTTACCGGTTTATTCCATAAAAAAATTTAAAGTTAATTAAGACGTTAATAGTCTATTACACAATTTGGTACTTAAAGCAATTACACGATATATTGCTTAATCCCCACCCAAAGTCACTTAAAGCCTTAATCTCCAACGAAATCAAAACAACCAACTACCAGTCTACTATCCCTGACAGATCGAAGCTCAGCATCAGGGTTTGAACTGGTGACATTTATCACGATACAGACATCAAGCTTATCAAGCTACTCGCGAAACTTTAGGGGATTCTCAACTGTAACATTTGTTGCTAGAGTCGAAAATCAATTGAAGTCAATTGACAGGTTTGGGGTAGCTTGAAGTGCATTTATCACCGCCCACCCTCTCGATGTTATCTCCGGTTTTAACCGGAACGTTATCAACAAAATGTACTAGGAAACTGCGAATCGAAACATTCATTATGTTGCAATATGATTTCTGAGAAAATGCGTGGAACTGTTGCCGTAATAGGTTTATATTTGCAGAAGGTTAATTTTGTACAATTTTTGGATTTTACGTGATAGAATTAAAGTAAAAAGTATTTTATCTTGACTGCACGGTCGATGCGATGGCTGGGGGGGCAACTGTCTGTCGTGCAGCGTCCCGCAGATTCGATTCCCGCACGGAACAACACTTAGTTTGATCCACAACTTGTTGTTTCGGGTCTGGGTGTCATGTGTATGTGAATTTGTATGTTTGTAAACGCACCCACGACACAGGAGAAAATCCTAGTGTAGGGCAACGTTATGTACAAAAAACTCATTATAAACTGCTGGAAACTAGACTGTTTATACTTTTATATTCGACTATCTATCGTAAAACACTAAATTGATAATAATTATAACTTCATCAAAACTAATTAAGAAATTAAGTTGGTTTTATCTTATTTTCCGATAAACAGTTAACTTTAATAAAGATTTCTCAGTGTAATTAGAGGCAGTTATTTCTTGAATTTTATTAGCCCACACACGATATTGTTATATGTTTATAGCAGTTACTATAATATGTTCTATATAACTATGTTCATGCATAGTATGAGAGTTATAAAAACTTGAGAGCACGCACGCTTCTGTGAGTCCAAATTATCACTGTAATGAATTCCAATCCAATCCAGTATAGAACATTAAACTGTCAAACACCAAGCGGTCACCGGTGACCGCAACCTATTGTTCTATAATTGTGTCTACAAAACCGGTACTCGACGAGTTAATAAACGTTCAACTATTTCGTGCACTTTATAATTAAACGATTTTTTAACGAAGATGCAATATAGATTTTTATTTGAATTTAACGATTTTCGTGTATTTGGACAGCGATTGGACAGCGTACGTTTTCTCCCCAAACACAAGGCATTGGTCAAGACATATGGTATATCCAAGATCTGCTTTTCTGTTCTAGATATTATTCAGTTTTATAATACGAACCCATTATTTTATTTCTAGTACAAGTTTAGATTAAAAATGTCAAAATGCATGTGTGCAACAAAAATTTTCGAATGTCTACTACACTATTTTTTTTTTGCATAAGCCGGTAAACGAGCTGACGGATCACCTGATGGTAAGCAATCGGCGTCGCCCATGGACACCTGGAACATCAAAGGCGTTACAAGTGAGTTATCGGCCTTTTGGGGATTAGGAGTTTGAGGATCGTTGGAGATTCAGGAATTGGGGAGATTGGGGAAGGGGAGGGTAATTGGGCCTCCGTAATCACACTCAACACGACGAAACACAACGCAGCGTTGCTTCACGTGGGGTTTCTGTGAGGCCGTGGTATCACTCTGGTCGAGCCGGCCCATTTGGGCCGAAGCATGGCTCTCCCACACTATACATGATCAAGAACTACTTTCAATTACTTCAATAGATTCTGATGAAAGCTAACACTAGCATTACAAACAAAATCCTTCAATATCGACATTCTGCAAAAATCTGCGTTTACGCATTCCTTAACCTTCTGTAATAACCTGCCTAGTCGCCAGGTTCATATACAGCGCTACCAGGAACACAGGACAGACACATTACATTATTAGATTGAATGCGCCGTATAAAGTGTCATAATGTCATTGTTTTCGACAATTGATATGTCTGGTTATATTCCAATTGATACGTAGGCATTGTATCTAGGCTCTATCTGACACTTAAGCCTCGCCTTTAAGGTTCATTTTTGCGTAACTGTTGTTTAATTTCTCAGAATGGAGTTGCTTTTATGGGATTTTTATTAGAGGTTTTATGTTTTGTATGCGTATTGTTCAATGAAAGAAGTGTATAAAGGCGAGTATCGTATGATTTGAATATCGTACGAATAAAATTTTTAATCAATAATACCTATTGATTTTAAATGTGTATTGAGGAAATGGTATTTAATTTTTTTTTTATTAGAAAAAAACTATATATTAATTATATATCAAAAGTCAGACCTGGTACCGTGAGAATCTATGCTAATAGACTAGAATATAAATAAACACCGCTATCCGAGGAACAGCATTCCAAAATTCCGAATGTATGGGAATTCAATTAAATAAGAATGCAAACAAATTCTAAAACCCAAATCGCTTAGACATAAAAAAAAAAACAAAAGAATAAAGAAAGTTCGAAGACCCAACTTAGATAAAGACTAAAGAGGTCGCCTAAAGAATCCAACTCGAATGGGCAGTTGTTTGGGGAGGTACGTGAAATCTTCTCCTCAATGATTCCGCAGTGTGAAAACCAGGATGTATACAACCAGTGTAGACTGTGTGATGCCAGTGATGACGGACGGTAATGAAACAACCACGTCTTCATCACGACGATCGAGACCACCCTAACTTTTGACTTTTGAGAGAGACTTCGTTTTTTTTAAGGGGGGAAAATCATCTCATTACTACTCCCGCCTGGGTGAGGCGGGAGGGAGTGTCAGACTCTTACTGACTAAAAACCACCCAGTTCCTTCTCCTGCACGTCGAGCCGTAGCCCCGGTAACCCGTTAGGTTCTCTGCGACAGAGAGACTGCGTCTAACGACAAAATCAAAACTGGTGCCAAAGAACCATCTCTAAGCAATTGACATTTCAACTAAGATAATTCATAGCACAAGATCAATGACTACGATTAACCATGAACAATACAAAACAGTACCATTAACATTCAGCGTAGAACAAGGCCCTAAATAAATAATTCATATCAATGAATGCCATTAAAGAATTTGATGACGATGCGAGCTTCTAGATGACCTAGCACAATATAGAGTTACTTCATGATCTCATTCGGTTCGTTCATAAATATATTCTAACTGCTACATATGAAGCCATGCATCACCAGTATAAACTGATCTTCGAATGTGTGTTAAGATCATAGGAAGCGAGACCATGATAAAATAGCTGTATAGGTCGATGTGTATGTAATGTACGAACATAGTGATTCGGATATGTTTCGACAGGAATTTCTTAACTGCTTGTTATTTATAAGCGATACTGATAAGCTAACAGTAGCTAGAGTTCGTTTGTAGGTCAGATACAGTGCCTACAATATTGGATTTTAGCGGCTATGGATTTTAGTGTGGCATGGGAACAGGATTTTAATTACCTTGACTAAAAGTGGTAGACTCTAAAAAAGTTAGAACCTAAAATCTTATGAGCAAAAACATAACCTTTGTTCGCAAAAAAACATTAACTGAAGTTCATCAGTTGAATGCCAGAGAAAGCTATCCTTCGTATAGAAGCAAAAATCACTCCTAAGATGCGGTCACCGAAACAGGTCCGCAGCTATTTATAACAGACGATTAACAATTCCACAAAGAACTAGCTAAAGCCAGCTTTAACGCTAAGCTTTAAGATATAATTCAGTTTGTAACAACAGAAGTTAATTTCAACAAAGGAATATAAGCTGAAACAATTGCGCATCGCAATCACGGCCGCGGGCAAAACCATTATGGTAAGAAAACTAGCCCAGATCTGTAAGGCTAATCTTATACATTATTATTAAAACATTCACGAGATCTGCCTGTGGGATTAATTACTTTCAGTATACGTCAGTCAATAAACAAGAAAATAAGAACATTTCTAGTGAACTACTTTGCACAAGACTTATTATAGTCCTTGATTCATCAACATCAGACAGTTGAACATCTGCGTTACCGACGTCTTTAAATTCTTGATTAAGTCAAATGCATTTTTGTTTTCGTTTCTAATCAGTTATAATCT